CCTTCAACAGACAAATGGGTAAAGAAGATGTGGTTCATATATATAATGGAATATTACTCAGCCATCAGAAAAGATGAATACCCAACTTTTGCATCAACATGGATGGGACTGGAGGAGATTATGCTAAGTGAAACAAGTCAAGCAGAGAAAGTCAATTATCATATGGTTTCACTTATTTGTGGAACCTAAGGAACAGCATGGAGGACGTTAGGAGAAGGAAGGGAAAAATGAAGGGAGAGAAATTGGAGGGGAAGATGAGCCATGAGAGACTATGGACTCTCAGAAACAAACTGAGGGTTCTAAAGGGGAGGGGGGTAGGGGGATGGGTTAGGCCGCTGATGGGTATTAAGGAGGGCACGTATTGCATGGAGCACTGGGTGTTATATGCAAACAATGAATCATGGAACACTACATCAAAAACTAATGATGTACTGTATGGTGACTAACATAATAAAAAATTAATTAATTAAAAAAAATAAATAAAATATACCCACAATTTGTTTTAATCATATAAAGTAAGATAAAAGACCTAAGAGACAATCACCTTTCAAAGAAGAGTTTATTACTCACAGTTTCCCAGAGGGCAGAAGGTCCCAGCAAGCCACACAGGGTCACTTGTAGGGAGAAGCAGAGAGAGGAGTTAAGTAGAATTGGGACATTTATTACTATGCAGCGAGAAGCAGCTAGGTGAGGACATCACCTGCCAGGCAGGAAGCAAAACATACTGAAGCTAGTAAGTGGTTGGAGGGTTTATAATAAGATTACTTCATGTTCAAGATAACACTGGGATGAGAGAGATGTGAAAAACTTTGGGCCATTAGCATGGCTCATGGCTTCATGATGCCAAATCATCAATTATAGAGTATCAAAAATAGTTATTAAGTTATCACAGCCAACTATTCATAAACCTTTGGCCAAGTACTCCCCTAGGCTGAATGCTCCTACCAGCCATACACGCCCTGGTCTGCTCCTCCCCTAGCCTGTCTGTACACTCCATCTTTACACCTCTTGCTGAACACTCCCCAAGGCTGTCGGAATCCTCCACTCATGTAGGTCTTCCATGATGTTCCCCTTTATTTATTTCACCCATGCACCTCCTGTCCAGTACTACCACAGACTAGATGCTACCTCATTCCATGCACCACCTTCTGTGTCTGCCCCTAAGGTGGGTGTTCATCTACCATTTAGGTGCTACTGAGTTCTTCCCTAGTCTGAATACTCCTTCCTCCCTTGTACTTAACCATCAAGCCTCACCCAAGATTATGTCCACCCCCCCACAACGCCTATGTTGGCTACACCCACCACAGCGGTACCTGTTGTTGGTTATTTCACCAGGCTGGTTTCCCCCTACCAACGCATAGCCTAGAAGTCCTCCTCTAAGCTAGATGCTTCCTTCAAACATGCATAGCCTTCTAGGTCTTACCACAGACTGGGTATTTCCTCCATTCATGCAACTCCTCCTGCCCAATCCTCCTCTAGGCTGGGTTCTCCCTCTTCCTGTTCACCTTCTAATCAATCAGGCCCTAGGATGGCTGCACCTTGCACACATGCACCACCTTCTGATTCCTGTCTTACAGTTGCTGCATCCTTTACTCATGGACTTCCTGATGATCCCTCACCTAACCTGGATGCATGCGTCCAACACCCATGCACTTCCAGCTACATTCTCAACTAGGCTTACCGTACCTCTACCAACATACCCTCTGCCAAGTCCTTTCTTCAAGAAAAAAAAGTTCTTTTTGAATTTTAAATGTTAGCAGCTAATTGATTTTCTTTCACAACATCTGTGGAGGACTAGCAAGCCCATCTACTGTCCAGATTAGCTCTGTGAGCTGCCTTTCTATAACTTATGCTTTAGAAATGATGTACTGATGTTTATGGAAGGATCCATCTTTCTTACAGCCTTTAAAGGTCTCTGTTCCCAAAGGCTGGTCTCAGTAGGAGACCAGCCTAGTGTCCAGGCCTTGTACTCATGCCAACCCCAAGCCACATGACCCTCCCCAAGCCCACATGACCCTCCCCAAGCCCACACGACCCTCCAGGTTCCCCTCAGGCTTGACTTTTGGGCTCATCTCTTCTCACACATTATGCTTTCTGCTCTGCTGACCCGTATCTGGCCCCCAGCCTGTCCCAATACTGCCTGTGATCACAGACCTGGCTTGGCAGCCATATCCTCCCCAGACCATCCCTACTCACTCCAGTTTCAGCTTTCCACTCCCAACAGGGCACGAGTCATCAATGGTGTCTTCTCTCCAGGTCCCAAGCTAGAGGAATCGTTCCTCACCATCCCCCACCTCCCACTTTTTGGAAATGCACAAAGGCCCTAAACTCAGGTAGCTCATTCTTTCCCAAGCGCAGTGATTCTCAGTCTCTGCCCGCCTTCTTCCCCTGAGTGTAGGAATCCTGTGCCCATGTAGGAGGGGGACTTGGCAGGGTGCTGCATTTACACCTGTGCTCTGCTGATCATGGCCCCCATGTTTTCTGGGAAACCCACAAGCACAGCGGAAGCATAGTCCTTAAAGGGATGGCAGCACAGCCCTGCCCGATTCTCGCATGCCCTCGTGACTGCAGAGGGCTTGCCAACATAAGGTCACTAAGGCTCAAACTCCAAACTCCGCCTCGGACATTGGATAGTCTGAGCGAGCCCACGAAGCCTGGCTCCCTACACGTGTCACAATGACCATTAGTGTCGACGACTGCATGGACCGTGAGGTGACTGCCTGACAAGTCTGCTAAGCCAACATAATTTATGCAACTACTCTCACATCTCTGGCCTTTAATGAATTCCTCCTTAGCTGTGCCTTCTGGTGAAGGACCCAGGAGACTGTTTTGCACTAAAACAAGCCACTGCCATAAGCCAAAATCAACAGCTTCTACAAATCAGCTATTTAACCAACATATCAAGATCTTAGCATAATGATTGATTCCCTGGCATTACCCACCCTGGAGGCACTCCCTGTTGGCTGAAGGACATTGGAATATGAGAAACCATGCCCTGGACACAAAGATGCTCCGCTTCAGGGATGGGGTGGCGATGTTGGTGCTATCCTGTGATCAGATGAAGGAGAATCTCACCTGCAGCTGCTGGGAGGGGCCTGCTGGCTACTCAGATGAACAGAAGAGTAACTGTTGAATTTGGCTAAGGCTAGGAGGGCTTCCTGGCTCTCCATGACAAATGACAACTTTGTGGGTTGGACATCCTGACAGTGAGGTTTCTGAAAATAATGGGTTGAATGGCATTAAGGAGCAAGAGAAGTTTCTTGGATTTATACAAGCACATATTCCAATGAGCTCTAAACACACCCGACACTGTTATTGTCAGGACACTCCTGTGAAGTAGGCAAAGGCAAAGCCAGCTCCATACTTTGACAGGTGGTAGAAAGAGGCAGAGAGAGGGTAAGTGACCAGGCAGAGGGGAGCAGAGAGGAAACCAGGCTGAGGCCTGTCTGGTTCCCAGGTGTGTACCTCTGGCTTCTTCCTCTACGTGGCACTCTCCTGTCTCTCCACAGGTTTCAGAAGGCTGTGGTTTCACAGCCAGAGGCCCAGGCGTCCAGTCATCATGGGAGAGCCAGGCCCAGGGGCTACTTGGGAAAGCACCCCTAAGCATCTGGTCTACAGAAAGGGAGACATGCAGCTACTCATTAAGGGCACACTGTGTGCTGGACACTGTGTTCTGCAGCAGCTAACAGGCATAAACAGCATAAACATAAACATAAACAGCAAACCATAAACAGCACAAGAGTGTTTATAAGAATCGTATGTACCTGTGAGTCAACCACTTGGGACAGAACTTACACAGAACACGCTTATACGTCTCCAAACAGGCATTCACTCTAGGTCGCTCCATCAAATATATGACCATAGACAGGTTAGGTGTTTCATCTGAGAATGAGACTAATAAATGTGCTTATAAAGGAGTACCTTTGTAAATAAGTCTGTTACGGGGTGTCTGGGGTGGCTCAGTCGGTTAAGCATCCAACTCTTGATTTTGACTTAGGTCATAATCTCAGGGTTCTGAGACTGAGCCCCGAGTCAGGCTCTGCACTGAGTGTGGAACCTGCTTAAGAGTCTCTCTCTCCCCCTCCCCCTGCCCCTCCCCCTTTCCTCTCAAATAAGTAAATACATATATAAATAAATCAATCTATTAATAACTATTAAGAACTTCAAGGATTGCATGTCTTAGGCCAGATAATACCTTTGATGTTCCTATTTACCAGTGTCCACAAGAGAAGACAGGGTATACTCCACAGAGTATCACAGCACTAGCTAATAATCCCTATTTCAAGTCCTTTTTTGGAATGAGGCCGGGCATAAATGAATGAAAGCGAGCTGAGCACGGTTCCTTTTCTGTACACCTCTTCACGGTTTCCCATCGCTCCTCAATCTTCATGTAAGGCCCCTGCCCCCCGTTAAGTTCACGTCAACTGCTGTGCCACCCTCTCTACTCCCCCACCCCACCGCCACCTCCTCCTGACCTCCGCGCGTTCCCCTACCACCAATAAAGCCTGCAGCACCTCAGCCTTGGTCTCCAGCCCCACCCCGGTTACCACCATTGTTCTGGAAAGTCAGTATGGCCGGGAGGCCCCCCGCCCGCCCCCTGGCCAACCTCCTGGCCTCACAGGCCTTGACCTGCTCGGAGCCAGTGAAGACGTCTTTCCCCCACAACCAGCTACTCCCTGCAGGGCCATCCCCCCACCCCCACCCGGCAAACACCGTCCCCAGTAACTGCTCCTTGGAACACCTGACTCCAGCATCCTACACTGACCACCCCTTACACCCTCCACTCCCCATGGCAGATCTCTCCCCCACAACCAGCCACTCCCGCCAGGGCCACTCCCCGCACTGTCCCCAGAGAAACCGCTCGCTGAAACACCAGACCCCAGCTTCCCACACCCACCGCCCCTTGCACCCTCCACTCCCCATGGGAGATCTCCTCCTGGATGTCTCCCAGACACCTCCCGCTCAGAAGGACAGAAACAGAGAGCAGTCAGAAGCACAGCCCTGGATTTAAATCCTTTAATAGCTTTTGCTGACAGAAGAGCAGGCCTCCCTCATCTATGCGCAGTGTTGGGGACTAGATGAGGCTGTGGGCTCTGGTACCTGGTCCTCACCACTCCCTGGGTTGGGGCACGGCTTCCACCTGAGAGTAGGTGTTATCCTCAAAGAGGCGGCTCAGGTGCTCGTTGTTGCCCAGGGCCTTCTGCACGTGCTCTGGGGTGATGCGCATCTTGTGGTTGTTGCGGGCCTCCTGGCCTGCCAGCTCCAGGATTTTGGCCGTCAGGTACTCAAGAATGCCGGTGAGGAAGACCGGTGTAGATGAGCTCAGGCGCTGGGCATAGTGACCCTCTCGCAGGAGGCGGTCCACGCGGCTAACTGGGAACTGGAGCTCGGCCCTCGCGGAGCGGTACAGACCGTGCCTCTTACGTCTATGACAGCGCCAGTGGTTTCTTCTCCCAGACATGATGTTCGCTGGGTTTGGCCCTGATCAACCCAGCCTGATGATCCCGGTAGCCTGGGTCTGTCAGGGTACCAGTGCTCCCTCCTACCCACTGTGCCCCTCACTGGTCCGGGAGCTGCCTTTATGACAACCCGACACTATGATGTCATTGATGACACCGGCCCCTGATCAGGACTGGCCTAGAAATGTTTATGACAGAAAACTGGTCTCCCTGTTGACTGGACCCTCTGTATGAGGGAATGTTTTCTACGTGACTTTAATAGCCTAGCATAAAAAAGGAACATGTGTTCACATGTGAATGAGTGTCATGATTTTATACTTCTTTCATAATTATCTTTAACTGTTTTAGAAGAAACACCCATATGTCCAATTGTCTCACCTACCAGAGCCAGGTAAACTTCAATGACAGAAAAGTGGACCATATGGACATTTAAAGCCCAGGCATGTCTTTCCTTGGCTCTTCAATGTAACTCCAATGCCCCAATTAGTACACTGTTAACTGTTTATAATTTGTTTTCTTCTCTACTTAGTAGTTTGGTGTTTCTGTTTTGTTTTTGGTTCATTTTTAGACAGTAAGTTATTTCCTGCTATTGATAGCCATGGTTGGGAATTTGGTTTTTGGTTTTCTTTTTGTTTTATTTTCTATTTATTTCTTATAAGGTAAAGCCCACATAATATAAAATTCACCGTCTTGGCCATTTTTAAGAGTACAATTCACTGTTTTTTAATACATTCACAGTGCTGTGACACTATCACTTCAGATTCCAGAAGAGTTTCATCACCCCCAAAAGAAACTCCATACCCATTAAAGCAGTAACTCCTTAGTCCTCCCTCCCCACCAGCCCCTGGCAGACAATCTACTTTCTGTCTATATAGGTTTGCCTATTCTAGACATTTATATAAATGGACTCACGTGAGACATTTTGTATCTGGCTTTTTTCACTTAGCATGTTTTCAAGGTTTGTCCACATTATAGCATGTGTCAGTACGTAATTTATTTTTATGGCTGGAGAATAATCCATTGTATACATATATCACATTTTGTTTATTCATTTATCAGTTGATAGACATGTAGGCTGTTTCCAACATTTTGGCTATTATAAATAATGCTGCTTGTGTACATGATTTTGTGTTAACACCTGGCTTCAATTTTCTTGTGTATATACCTAAAAGTGCAATTGCTTGGTCATTTGGTGAGAATTTATATTTACGGTCTGACCATCTGGGATCTTTCTAAATAGACTGATGGTTTGTAGAGATCTGGTCCCCGCTGGGTGAAAGACAACAGAGAATCTGGTTTGTCAGTCTTTTTGTTTGTCTATTTTTAGCACAGATCAACTCAGAATGTCATGCCCTCTGGGAGGGGAACACCTACTTGATATCTGTACCAGGGAGGTTTACTGTTTCTGTGTTTATACTTGACCCATGGATGAAACTGTAGAACTGAGGCTATAAGCTCTATTTGTGCCTGTACATCTATGTATCTGCAATTCAGAACTTCATCTCTGATTTTGTGAGTATATAGACGTTTTCCTACCTCCACATGGTACTAATACATAAGATTATAAAATCTCGGAAATTAAAGGTGCTCTGTTCTGACTGACATATCTAGGTAAATGATTGCTTACATAAATTGAAAATTCCTAAAATAGCCTGGAAATAATGAAATTAAATTTCTGACCCTTTAAATGTGCTTGATTAACAAAAATATTCTCATAGAAACTAACTCAGATTCATTTCAAAAATTTAAATTCAAAGTGAAGTTAAGGGCGCCTGGGTGGCTCAGTTGGTTAAGCGACTGCCTTCGGCTCAGGTCATGATCCTGGACTCCCAGGGTCGAGTCCCGCATCGGGCTCCCTGCTCAGCAGGGAGTCTGCTTCTCCCTCTGACCCTCCCCCTTCTCATGCTCTATCTCATTCTCTCTCTCAAATAAATAAATAAAATCTTTAAAAAAAAAGTGAAGTCAGAGAAAGACAAATACCATATAATTTCACTTGTATGTGGAACTTAAAAAGCAAAACAAACGAGCAAGGGGAAAGAGAGACACACACACAGAGTGAGAGACAAGCCAAGAAACAGACTCTTGAGAACAAACTGGTGGTTACCAGAGGGGAGGCGGGTGGGGGGTATGCTTAAATAGGTAATGGGGATTTAAGGAGTGCACTGGTGATGAGCACCGGGTGACTGATGGAATTGTTGAATCACTATACTGTACACCTGAAACTAATGTAACACTGTATATTAACTATATTGGAATTAAAATATTTTTAAAGTAATTTAAATTCATATAGTTTAAATATTTGGTGAAAAGGATTACTTTAATCTTTAGTTTTTAATAAAAACAACTATGTCTTCTCTGATTTATCAGTGTCAAATATAAACACTTTTTTCTACTTGGGTATGTTTTTCCTAAACTTATACAGGTTTACTGATTAAGCATAGTAGCATTACTTCTAGTTATTAACATTATAAAAATATAAATTTATTTTTAATGAAGTTGAACCATTATTCCAACAATCTTTTATTATCACACTAAGAAGGTTTTGCAGCTTGAAGAAAGTTTGAGACAAGATAATATAAAAAGAAACACGAATCTGTGTTAAAATTTTGCCAAATCTGTCTCCATTTTGATGGGCTTATAAGATTATAAAAATAAGCTTGTGGTTCCCTTAGAATCAAATATTATAGCAATGTAAACCTAGAATTCAGCTTTCTCTCTGTAAAAATGACAATGCTTCCTTGGAGGACTTCTCTGCTCTTAGTAAAAGGTTGTGAAAGTTCACTCTTCATCCCATATGGTAATTTGTTCAAAAGCAGAGATTTCTTATCTCACCAAAATAACATTGTATATTTTATTTCTAATTTATATGTCCTAAATTATTCTCCTTAAAATAGACAAATACCCTACATTTCTATACATATTAAGGACTTGTGTTCATTTAAATATTGTGTTTATTAAATATTATATTGTCACTTTTTTTAATAGGTAGCATTGTTACAAGTATTCATGTTCACCCAAGTGCCTAGTGGTGACTCCTCCAGGCTGGCCTCCCTCTATATTCACGCACTTCCTGCGGAATTCTGCCTTAGGTGGGACACTTCCTTTACTCTTGACGTTCCTGGTAGATTCTTCTCTGGATTGAGGACCAAACACTCATGCACCTCCTGCCTTTCCATCCATTCATGTTCCACATGGTCATCCCCAAGGCTGTCGTCACGTCCTTCCAGAACCCTCACACATCACCTCCATCCGGAATTCTTTCACCAGTGGCCACGTCCTACCTATTCTGGCTGCACCCTTGGACTAGGCTAACCTAGCCCTGCACCCAAGAACATCTTGCAAAGTCCTCCACAAAGCTGGCTGCATTCTGCACCAATGTACCACCTACCATGCCCTTCTCTTTCTAGCTTATACTCTCTAACCTGAACTTCCTGCAGAATACTCTTCTAGCTTGGATATTACTTCCAACCATGCAGCTCCCAACATTTCCGATAGGCTGCCTGCACCCTTCACCTAGGTACTTCTTGATGGAACTCTCCTAGGCTGATTGCATCAACTTATGCATTCCAGCTGAATCCTCCTTTAGACTGAATTCCTCCTCCATCCATTTACTTCCTGTCGGAAAGTACCTTAAGCTGGCTGCAACCTATGTCTATGCACATCCTGCAGAGTCTAACCCTAGCTTGCATCTTTTCTTCACCTATGCACCTACTGTCATATCCTTGCCTGCACCCTGCCACAACTGGTTGAATCCTCCACCCGTGCATTTCCTGCCAAGTCCTCTGTCTTAGTCTATTCAGGCTGCTGTAACAAAATACAACAGGGTACCTTATAAATAACAGAAATTCATTGCTCACAGTCGTGGAGGCTGGAAGTCCAATATCATGGCACAGCCATGGTCAGATGAGGGCCCTTTTCTGGGTCACATACATCTCACTGGATGTTCACAAGGCAGAAGGGCAAGGGATCCCTCTGGAGCCCCATTTGTGAGACACTAATTCTATTCATGAGGGCTCCACCCTCATGGCTTAAACACCTCCTAAAGGGCCCACCTGCTAATATCATCACATTGGGCATTAGGATTTCAATATCTATATTTTGGAGGACACAAACATTCCAACCACAGCATCCTCCCCTAGTCTGGATGTATTTAACCCTAGGAACCTCCTACTGGGTCTTCTCTGAGGCAGGATACTCCCTCTTTGAATGTCTCTATCACCGCATCATCTACAATCCTGAGTGCCCTCTCCACCTAAGTTCTCTTTTCCAGATATATCCTAGGCTGGCTCTAGTCACCATGCACTTTCTCCAATATCCTATGAATAGGCTGTTTGTGCACTCCTCTCAAGTACTTCCTGCTGGGTTCTACCCTCATCTGGCCACATACTCCACCTCCTGCCAAGTCCTTCCCAAGACTGGATGATCTCTATACTCACATACCTCCTGCCAGGTGTAACCCTAGATGGGCTGCACCCCACACCAATGCAGTTCTACCATATGTTTCCCTATGATGGCTGTACCTTCCATTCATGCACCACCCACCATGTCCTCTCCCATGTTGGATGTTCCCTCCTTCTAGGTATATCCTGCCGAATCCTCTTCTAGGCTGGCTGCACATTCCACCAATATACTTCCTGAAATATCCTCTCCTGGACTGGATGCTCTATCTACTCATATACCTCCTACCCCAACCTCCATTAGTCTGGCTGCAGTCTCTATCCATGCACCTATTCTAGACTCTTCCCATAGGCTGCAAACTTCCACACATGAACTTCCATGCTTAGACTCGCTGCACCCTATAGCTATGCACCTCCTGCTGAATCCTAATTTAGGCAGAATGATTTCCCTACCCATGTTTCTCCTAATGCCTGCTGTCCTAAGCTGGATCTCCCTCCACTCATGCACTTCCTATTACATAACATAAGGCCAGCTGTGCCTTCCACACATGCAACTCCTGCAGAGAGATCCTCTAGGCCACATACATCTGCCAACCATCATATCTTGTCAAGTCCTATACAGGCTGTCTGAATCCTACATCCATGAAGCTGCTCAGGTCCCTCCCATAGGCTGGCTATATTCGGCATC